TGCATAGTTATGAACACGGTTAGTTACGGTAGAAGAGTGAAACTAGAATGAAATCTCGCATTGAGTATACTCACTTTTATTGTAGTTCGCGTCAAAAAATTACAATACAAAAACAAATTGCTAAAAACATTGGTTACAAAATTTGGAGGATTACTCCGCCAGTTCCTTTCATCAAGTGAAATAGAAATCAGACATGCAACTTGATGATCTATAACCTATTATATATGTATGATCAATGTCGTGGAAGCTGGTTATACAATAAGGATTTTTAATTTTAATAATATAATATGGGCTTATGTCTTACATAACCTACAAATAGATCTGAAAGCGATATCGAATAAAACTGATATCAGAATGAAACACAAGTGTGAAAATAAAATTGTGAAAACAAATTGCTGAATATATACTCAAACAAGTTTAATTGATTTGACGGCTAGATTTAGATATGAAAAACATAAGCTTTCTCAATCAGGAAAACTAGAACTGCAATATAATACATCTCCTTTGAGATAAATCTATAAATAATCCATATTAAAATAGACAGAGAAACAGAAACTAAGGAAACAAGTTCACCATCATAGTAATTATGAAATATAATATGTATATTATTTATGAGGTAGGATATGTGCATGGATTCCGTATGAGGTAAGTGAAAAACCTAACTTTTAATTCTTTTAACTTTAGATGTAACAGAAAAAGAGTTCTTTTCAGGTGAAGATGAACGATAAGTACGAGTTTATGACCTCGGAAAAAGTTTAAACAAGCAGTTCTACTCGAGAGAAACATGTGCTAAATCTGAGTATGTTGATGTTATAAACCAGGGTTTCTTTTTTCAGTCGCGACCCCTTTAAATCACTAAGATTTTTTCGTGACCCTCAGGACCCCCATAATATTTACAAAACTTTTGTGGGACCCCATAAGTAAGTATTGCGCAAATACGACACACGCGTGAGTGAAACTGTCAGCTTTTTCACTTGTACAGTAATATATTTTTGCAGTTTTAGATCATTAATTTCTAATTTAAGGCATAGAACAATGTGAAAATTTTAAACAAGTAACAGATGAAATGACAGCATCACGTGCAAAGCAAGTAAAATGAACGTTTATATTATAAAAAGAATGCGTCGAAACGTTTTCGTTTCTTTCTTTGTCTGTATTGTCTTATCTTTATCTATTTTCAGATACATTGCGTAAAAATATTTTGTATTTGTATAATATAATAAATTTGTAGATACATTAGGTATTTTTTGGAAGCAGTCAAGATGAAAAAAGGAGCAATCGCCTTCGCCGAGAATCGAACCACGGACCTCTGAAATACCGGCCCAGCGTGTAGAACCACTACACCACGAAGGCACGCTAGGAAGGTGGGAGAAATACCTTATAAGTAATATCAAAACTGCTAAAATTTTTGGCGACCCCTTGCTGTAGGTCCCGCGACCCCCTTAGGGGTTGCGACCCACAGTTTAAAAACCCTGTTATAAACAATAGCTTTGAATGTACTAGTAGTTTGCATCGGCAGACTCTTGAGATCCACGAAGCTGAGATTTGACGTGTTGGTAAATAGTGGACACTGACTTACCGTATCCGCTGTAAAGCAGTCAGCTTCTACCGTCGCTCGTAAACATTTACCACATCCATACATAGTCAGGCGTCTACCTGTGTTTAAACACGTCATTATATCTCCTTTTCGGCTGCTCAGATGTAAATGGAATGCAAATTTCCTATTTGTACTAAAGTTCAATCAAAATTAATCTTAATTAAACCATGTCTAAAATGGCATACATGCTGAGATTCTATAGCTTTTGGATCTTGCAAATCAGACCTGTAAATGTTTTAAAGCAATAAACTGCCTTCTTAATGTAATTTCAAGTACCATTATTAATACATCAATTCTGAGTGCGTAGGAAGTGACTAAAACGAGTTCTGAGTAACATTCTGTAACTAAATAAAAATGAAATCTTAACTATTATCCGCATTTTGAGTACCGTCCAACATTCGCAAATATTTAAAATTATCTTATAAAAGCTAATACGTATGAATCTTCCAAAATATTGCAGATAATCCTTCCTAATAAGATGGGAGCTGCAAATGTAGCTTCTTTCATCCTTAAAACTCGACACTAAAAGCGATGTTATTATTGATTCCATAAACATTATTCCCTTTATCTATTCATAGCTTTCTAACCTTGTACCGAACATTCTGAGTATCAAGACGTTTAAGAACGCTTTTTAAATTATTATCTGATAGCTGGGTGCTATTTAAAAGCCTAAAGCCATCTTCTAGTGATCGATTATGTTCTCTCTCTTTTCGACTTAACTATCTCATTCATTTACCCGGCCATTTTTAGTTGTTCAATAAAATTTTGTGAATGTCTTAGGTCATTTAACACAACTTGCAAGCTAAGGTCTCTTTTCGATGTTAGTTGAATTCTTGCGGTTTATATTCATTTGTAAAACATGCTGCGCTAAAAACTAGAGTTGATTATTATTTAATCGTTTCAAGATGTGGTGTACATAATACTTCTAAATAATCTAGATTTCCTATCTCAAACTAGTAATACAAAACAAAGGATATTTTGTATTTTCAGTATTAAAAGGGCGTCTTACGGTCATCAAAAAATAAAAAGAAAATTGGTTTCAGGGATTAAAAAAAACAGACGCATGTTGACTAAATATTCTGATTTGAACTGCTTTGTGCTCATAAGAAAATGCAAAATTAAATTTAATGCTTGATATCATCAAACAACGATGTTAATGGGGAATATTAATTAAGTATAAACTGCAGTTTTGGGAATATAAATAATTCTATTAGAATCGAAGCAATTTGATTTGTCTGCTGCCGTAATGGTTTCTGCTGAGTGCTTAAGACCACTGAACGCAGTGTCCGCAGTAAACATTGCGGCAAATACGTCATAGACGAAAACGTTGCGGAAAAAACAACGGAAGGCGAAAACGTCGTGGTGTATAATATCGTGGGAAAAAAGGAAGCAAGGAGAAAATATCGCAAATCTAAAAAACAAAGCGATTTAAAAACTTCGCAGTTTAAAAACATCGTCGTCGAAAACATCGTGGTAAAAAATAAACAAATCATCGCATGACGCATCGTGGTAACAAATCATCGCATGACGATAACATCGCAGACATGCGTTTTCAGTATTTAAAAATTCTCATATTCACATAATGATTTATGAGCGCAAGAAGGAACAAATTAACTATTAAATGTTCGATGAAAAAATTAGTAAGAGGTAATTCAAATCAGAAGGAGGATGAAAAAATTAGAAGAAAGTTATATTAGCATTCAAAAACGGAAAATTTAACAGTAAAATAATGCTAGGTACAGGAGTTAATAGAACTTTACTCTTACGTAGTTAAACAATAAAATTCACTCTCTTTTATAAAGTTTTACTGATAACTTTTAATGAAAAATACTGTGTAAAATGAATTATTTAGTGTAAAATAGATTAATGGCTCTCATCCTTTTTACTAATGCGTACCATGTAAACAATAATGAAAATATTAAGTACCACCACTACAAAGTACTACCTACCACCACCACATTTGAACAAAGCTCGGATCGCATAAATTTACGAGTGATAGAGAAAACCTCAATCAGGATGTTGGGATTTTAACTTTTGAATTTAATAGTTAAAAATGCTTTGCTTCTATATGTACGACCCATTTTTCTCTTGCGTACCACTCTACAAGGTTGCACTACTGCAACAAACAAGTACAAACTACTGATTGTACTCTGTGATATTGTGAAGACCTGTGCGTACGCAACAGTATTCTTAATCAAAAACTGAAATTAAGGACTGAAACTTAATATCTCATTGTCGGAATAAACTTTTAGTTTTTCATTTTAGCAGAGAAAAATTAATTGTGCTGTTGGTTCATAAAATAAGAACAATTAAATGAACTACAGAGTTCATTAATAATTAAATTTCTTATAAATAAATTTTTAGGTTTTAATAATATAAAATAGACGTTCTTCTAAATATTAATGAATCTTTATGTATTTGTTAAAAATTGAGTATTATAAGCAAGGAGTATAATATATTTTTATAATTTGTTTTACATCTTCTTTTATCATCTTTTATCTTATTTTATAATAAAATGTATGGTTAACGAAGTTTCTTGAGTGTTATTAAATTCTTCTCATTAAATAAACTGAATGAATCCATTGTTATTTTCTTATCAAATTTCTGACTTTTAAAAATTAATAGTCATCATATGAATATCTGGAATAATTAATTTTATAATAACATTTATTTTATGTAGCATACATTGCATGTTTCGGGCTGCCGTCCCTCTAAATTTTAATTAAATTCTCCTTTTCTTTTCTTACATTCACTATATTGGAGAAAATGAGAAAATTAGTAAAATGTTTACCACATGCTACAAAAAAAGAGAAAAGAAAATCAGTAAAGCATAACCAGAGAGAAATGAAAAATTTGTCGGCTGATTTAATTTCCACCCAGAGAAGCAGAGAAAGAAATCTAGCGAGTGATAGATATCTAAGAAGCTAAGGAAGCTAAGCTATTTTCAGTGCATACAATTTTTGTAAAGTCTCGACTTTAGAAAGTATCTGGATGCAGTATTACGGACATATAACTAACTCCATAAAGTAAGTAAAAATTTGACAGTTTAAATTAATTAGTAGATTTGCAAACAAATATTGATTAATTATGTGATTAAATTACAGGAAATCATCCATAACAGTTTCAGAGTTCTGTAAGAATGGCTTTATACCATTGTAGAATCATTAGGATTTTTTGATGGAAAGAGACATGAAAAATATGCAATATCTTAGCCAAGATTCGAACCTGGATCTCTCAAATAATGCCTCGAGTGTGCCAGCGTTACACCATGGAAACATGCTGAAAGGAGGAAAAAAATACCTTATAGCATTTTCTTACATTTGTTTCGTCATGTAATTACTACTATAGATTTGTAGAGACATTAGGATTTTTTTGGGAAGCAGACCACTTGAAAAATGAGCAACGTCTTCGCCGGGTTTCGAACCACGGAACTCTCGAGTTCGCGTCGAGCATGCTGACCACTACACCACGAAGACATGCTAAGAAGGTGAGCGAAATATCTTATATACTCCCCTTTTAAAGAGCGACTGGGGTTTTAGGGGAACCAGGCGCCAAATCCTGGTGGTGAAGATCATCATTCACCACCTTTAAATTCCGGCGCCACTGTAGAGACATTAGGATTTTTTTTTTTTTTTGGAACAAGAAGAAGCGAAAAATGAGCAACGCCTTCGCCGAGATTCGAACCATGGACCTCTGGGAAACGCGCCCAACGTGCTGACCACTACACTATGAAGGCATGTTAAGAAAGCCTGAGAAATATTTTATATACTCCCCCTTTCAAAGGGCGACTGGGGTTTTTTAGGGGACCTAAGCGCAAAATCCTGGGTGTGGAGAATCATATCCATCACCCTTTTATTTCAGGCGCCGCTGTAGAGATAGTTGGTCATTTTTAAAGCAGGAGTGATGAAAAATATGCAAAGCCCTCGCCGTGACTCGTACCACGGACCTCTCGAGTACGCGCCGAGCATGCTGACCACTACATTACGAAGGCATATTAAGAAGGTAGGAGATATACCTTATATACTCACCCTTTCAAAGGGCGTGCGCATCAGTGGTTTGAAATTCAGTGGTAATCCAACTTTGTCGAAAGTGTGGTGATTCAGTAAAACATAATATCACATCTCACATAAATAAATCAAAATCAATAATCACCAATCAATAAAATATAAATTGATTTAATGGAGTATAATAATATCTCAATCTCAGAATCTCACGTCATCACTGCTTCACACCTTCCGTCAACTCTCAGAACACACTCAATGGCGCTCTCAGCGCCCTCTAGCGTTAGGCGGGTCTTACCAGGGCGAATGAGTTTTTTAGGGAACATAATTGCCAAATCCTGTATATGGAGAATTATCATCCACCACCCTTTTAGTTCAGCCGCCACTGTAGAGACATTGGGTATTTTGGAAGCAGGAGATGCTAAAAATGAGCAAAGCCCTCGTCAGGACTCGAACCACGAACCTCTCGAATACGCGTCGAGTATTCTGACCTCTACATTACGAAGGCATGCTAAGAAGGTAGGAGAAATACCTTATATACTCACCCTTTCAAAGGGTGAATGGATATTTTTAGGGGATCCAATCGCCAAATCCTGTTTGTGGAGAATCATCATTCACCACACTTTTAGTTTGGGCGCCACTGTAGATACATTAGATATTATGGAAGCAGGAAATGGGAAAAATAAGGAAAGCCCTCGCCTCTGGAATACGCGCTTAGCGTGTGGACCACTACACCACGAAGGCTGGATAAACATCTTATAGATTATTCAACAAACATAACTGTTTCATTTTGATGATTTATAATGTTCATTACTTCTTTTATAACCAAAAGCCTGCTGTAAATTACGTACTAGTTTGTAAATGGCTTATAAAAACTAGCTATTAATTTAGAATTCAAACAACAAAAATCAACGTAATATTTTTAAAATTTTCACAGGACCAGTTTCGTTTCGATGGTTTTACCGAACCATCAACCTCAGCTGCGAAAGTGCAAATGAACGAGATAAGAAAGCCTTGACAGGAAGCATTACGTCTCTTGTCCAAATATTTGTCTCCTGTCTAGGCGTTCTTATCTAATCATTATATCTTATCTCGTTCATTTGCGCTTTTGCAGCTGAGGACGATGGCTCGGCAAACCATCGAAACTAGACCTGTAAAAATTTAACAAATATTGCGCATATTTTTGTTGTTTGACTTTTAAATTAATATTTGTTCGACGTGGTATTCTATCTTAAAAAGTAGCTAGTTAAAATCTCATTCTTTCTGCCCAGTCAGATCTTTAGAACGCCATAAATAGTTTTAATTTAATCTTATCCAAAGATTTGAAGATACAAATTTGATTAACTTTCGTTAGTGCCTGTCAGAAGTTAAATATCCTAACTTACAAAATTTTGCAATAAGAAAAATCGCTTTGTTTGGCAGTATATTTACACGGAACAGTTATTTCCGTAGTTGAAAATTAATTGCAAAAGAAATTAGACTGTGACGCATGTCTACAATTGGTGATGAACATATTGTCTAGTAAATTTCTTCCAAGGTTACAAATAAGAACAGAATAACCGTGATGTCATAAATAAAAATTGCTAATGGAAGATTTAAGTCAGTGGCCTAACGGCACGAGAGCAGCCAGTTTCGAAAATGTAAACTCCATGTGGAGTAGTAAGAAACAAAGAAGTTTATTATTATTTACACGCAAAAAATACACATTATTTTATGTATACACCATAAAAAAGTGTATTAAATAAAACTCGAGAATAAATAATGACAACCTATTCTCTTTCCTTTGTCTCTCTTGGAAATATTCCGTGTATTTCATTTTAGTTTAAATTAAATTATTTAATGATTGCTCCGACACATTACAATTATTTGAACAAATGGTAGTCTAAAACTTTTAACATTTAAAACTTGCAATTATTTTCAACTTTTAACATTTAAAACTTTTAACATTTACATACTTCTAATACATTTGCGACCGAGATTTAGATTTCAGGCAGAAAATTAGTATAAATTTTCCTTTGCATCATTTTTGTGTGCATATTATGAAAGCTATGTAGTAAAATGTTTCTATTTAACTAACAAATGTGGTTTTGTCATTATTATTATTACTTAATTTCGGCCCATCAGCTACTCTCAGATCGTGCATTTAACCCTCCTGCAATTTGAATTTAAGGCCACTGTCTTAGGAGACCATATTGTGTTACGCTGTGACTACTGAATCGTTCTTTGATTCAATTTAGATTCTTTAGCTGAGCTGTAAAGTAGAACTCTATTAAAAGGCTGTTGCTTGGAGGGAAATTTTTCAATTATGGCTGTTAAAAGATAAAGTGAATAAATTCTTATAAGTGCGGAATTAGGCAGGTGATTTATCTTTGCAGGGACATTCAGTATTTTTTTAAAGCAGGATTCATGAAAAATTAGCAATGTCCTCACCGAGACTCGAACCACGAACCTCTCGAATTCGCCCCGAGTGTGCTGACCACTACACCCCGAAGGCATGCTAAGAAGGCAGAAGAAATACCTCATAACTATTATAAAACAGAAACGTTTTATCTTTTTTTTTTTAATGTTGACCACAGATTTATTCTTCTGAATATAGTGATATTGCATTCTTCAGCCTTTTCAAGATTTAGGATATTCTTTATAACTGCACCGTTGATTTTCAGTGATATATAGCTTGTCTGAAATGAGTAAAAACTTGTAGCCGAAATATTATACAGATAAACATCTGTGTAACTAGTGGCGTTTCATTCATAGTGTAAGTACTCATGGGGACTTAAAAATCCTGTTAACGAGGCCCGTAAGATGGATTGATCATTAAACTCAGTTTATTCCAATGCAACATTTGTATTAAGAAGTCCTCACTCTTAGAGTGGCGGTAGGCTTCGAAGCCTATAACAGCTGTAAACGGTATGGAGACATATGTAGGCGTTTCGCAAAACTGTCCACATCGTCAGTATTGGTACCACAGTTTCGCTCTGCTCTTTCGAAAAGAATTTTTAAGACTGTATAGGAAAGATTCTTTCACATTTACAACATTCTGTGCAGACACTCGTGGGCATCCAGTAGCCTTCCCTTATACAAACATTCAGTAGTTTCAACTGCTTCAGTAACATCAACGAATGTTATTGTCACTTGAAGGTTCGTTTTTAAACTTTCTACAAACCAGTGCGTGTTGATAACAGTGTACATTGCACTGTTGTAGCAAATTCACATTTAACAAATGTCAAAACACAGAAGGCTGTTTGCTAGTGCCTTGCCATTTTTATTATTATCGCCATCAAGCTGAAAGTCACACAGTCAGTAAATAAGCCGACAAGTGAAACTTTCATTCCTTGTGCTTTGATGCTTTTAGCGAATGAACAAATTCCACTTCGTTTGTGAAAAATGGTAACAAGCTGTAATCTTGATATTCTTTTCTGTATATCTAGTGCATTTAATGTACAAGATATTCAATTCAGAATTTCCACTAACATTTGCAACAGGATTGTAACTAATAAAAAGTATTTAAGACGCTATATATTACGTAGATGGTATAGAATCATTTGTAGCTTTCGTTTTAAAATACGGAATTATATTGTTTTTTTTAATTCCTACATGTAGTTTGATATCGTTGCGTTCTACGGGTTCGTGGATGTGAAGTAATTGACGATAACACTTGATGAAAAATCAAATCCTAATTTATTTACCAGTATTACGCAGAAGAGTTTCAAAGACACGGTTACTGTCGTTAAAAAACTAAGGTGAACACGTTGAAACAATGAGCAACACAGCTTTGAGGCTACAACGGCAGCTTCATGGCAAAGCACTCAAGTACAGCTCCCGACTGGGTTCGGTCGCTCTCAAGCTAATCTCTGAACTCAACATACTCTACTACACTACTACTCCGAGTATAGGCAGGGTATATATATAGCTTTAACCTACCTTTGAGAACATTCCCGGGAAAAGCTACTAAGCATGCGTTCTAGAATGCTGTCGCTCCGTCTATGGCATATCGCCAGTTGTGTCACCAAATGGTCGATTTCCCTCCAAATCTGGCAGTTCTGACATTCTCTGTCACTTTCTGGCAACCTTAACCCCCTTTACGGGGAAGCTATCTCACCGCAGCTGGGCAGCTGAGCAGTTGTGTCACCAAAAAATTTCCCTCCAAATCTGGCAGTTCTGACATTCTCTGTCACTTTCTGGCAACCTTAACCCCCTTTACGGGGAAGCTATCTCACCGCAGCTGGGCATTTCGTAACAATATAAATATGATTTATTTTATTCTATTGCTTATGCATGTGTTCCTTCCTGGGAATGGAATTAGTTAAAATAATATATTAACAGGATTCTTACATTTATGTACCATTATCAAGAAATGCTCAAAAAAGTAAACCCCTAATTTTAATATATTAATCATTTATTAAAATGATTAATAACACACACACAAGCATTCAACACGAAAAAGGCATATATACGTAATTGTATATGTAATAGTT